AGTACTATGGTTCCCACTGTAGCAAAATATCAATTTTGATTAAACGAACCTTACAATTTTCACCAATAAAAGTTTCCATTTTAATGTTTATCCAGTGTGAACTAATGAAAAATGTTTCATATTAAATTGTTAATTAGTGGCTTAACCACAAGAAACTCATAAATTGAAAACTGTTGAATTGAAATAAGTGTTTTTTTTAAATCTACAGAGATATTTCAAATCTTGTATATGCTCCATAAATTTTTAAGTCACAGTAAAAGTTATTGATTTTTAGATAGAAAACACTTCTGTTGCACGCAATTCCGCGCAATTCCGCAAATAATTAATTGCAATTTCTTGTTCGCAATTATAGCGTAATTCCACTCTATGAAATTTCGCAAGCAGAAGCAATCATTGCGCGCAGTTCCTCGCAATTCCGTTGCCTATATTTCGCGCAATTATTACAGAATTGCGCGCAAATTAAATTCACTTGTGCACATGAGCTGACAATTGCGCGCAAGTAAAATCCACTTACGTTGGAAACCCTATTTTGGTTAGGCCTTTTGAGGCGCCGCATGCTGCAATGAGGGCCAAGCGCTGCGGCTCAAATAGGCTAAAGCATGCTAGGGGCCAAGTGCAGCTGCTAGGACAGACTTTGGAAGTTGCCACTCGGGAAATTGAACAGTTGGGAAGTTTCCACTTGGAAAAATACCCGTGGGAAGTTGCTGCTTCGGAAAAAGCCTTTGAGAAAGTTTCTAACATTATCAAATACACATCAGATTGTTTAAATGTCGTCTTCATATTGCACAGATTTATGGAAATCACTGAATTTTAACATTAAAGGGTGAAGAAGAAGAAGAAGAAGAAGGAGAAGAAGGAGAAGAAGAAGGAGAAGAAGAAGGAGAAGAAGGAGGTGAAGAAGAAGAAGAAGAAGGAGAAGACGAAGGAGAAGACGAAGGAGAAGAAGAAGGAGAAGAATATGAAGAATACGAAGATGAAGAAGGAGAAGATGATAATGGAGATGCAGAACATGAAATAGAAGAAAGTGAAGGGGAAGAAGGGGAGGATGGGGAAGAAGAAGAAGAAGAAGACGGAGGAGAAAAAGAGGGAGAAGAAGAAAGTGAAAATAAAGAAAAGGGAGACCAAGAAAAAGAAAAAGAAGAAAAGGAGAAGAAGGAAAATACTGACGTTGATGATGAAAAAGAACCTGGAGTAGACTATGTCGAAGGAAAAGAAGATGATGAAGATAAAGGAGAAGATGAAAAGACATATGAACATAGAGAGAAACATGAAGAAAAGAAAGATGCTCATAAGAAGATAAGAGAAAATGAAGGTTAGCTTTATTGATAGTATATCTAAAAATAATACTTTAAATTCTCAGGAAAAATATTACGGCTTAATTCTAAATTTTCAAAAATGATAATCACATTAATTATTCATTAATGAGTATCAATTCATATCAATACAGAGTATTTAACCTGAGTTGAAGTAATCGAACAATTATATTTCAGGAAACAAAAAGTACTTTAATCAATAATTTCCCTTTCTTTACATGTCCACTTGCATCTTAGTTTATTAATTAAAGCTTGTCAAAAACCAAAAGTAGAAATAAAAAGTCGATTTTATTATCTAAATTTAAATTTGGTATTTCTGTTTTTTGTTTGTTTAACCAATAAACCTCATAACGGTTGAACCGACTAGGCTCATTTTTTGTCGCAACTTACACTACCACAAGAGAGATTTAAACTTTTAAAGACAGGCAAAATTAAAAATATTACCTAGAAAAACCGAGTATTCAGATTATTATACAGTTTACCCCAAAGATTTTGAGTTATCAACAGAATTTATTTAATGTCGTCTTGACAATTTTTCAAAAAAAATTGCCATTAATATGCGGAAACAGTTTTAAAGAGCTCCATCTAATCATTTAATTAAAAAAAAACTAAATATTATCAGCAACATTCCATTATTAGAAAGTTAAGAAAAAGACATTTTATAAATTCTTCCGATGTCTCTTAATTTTTTAACTTAACCTTAGTATTGCTATATTCATTTATATTATATATTTTAGAGAAAATGACGGATCCTGATCATATTCTGTTCAAATACATCACCCCTGATGAAAATTTTAACAAACATCTTTCTAAAATTCTATTAAAGGCTTTGGAAAAATAAATATATATATTTTGCTGAATTCTACCAATATTTTTTTTCTACAGTAAAATAATGCAATTTACCAAGTAACAGGAATAAGTACCTTCAATTCTATTTTTAATACTGAATTTCTCCAAGCCCAGTGCAGTGGGTCCAAAAAAAAATATTATTATGAAATTTCATCTTTTTAAACAAGATATTTAAGCGGTCTAATTCGCACAGTTTATCAGTCATTTTGATACATATTACATTATATTACATATAAATAACATTACGGGATGGATTAGTTGAAGTTATAAAAATGACCATGTTTTTATGATGTTTTATGCAAATAAATGACACGTTTTGAAAAATTTCTTAAGTAATAATAAAGACGACATTTCTGGAAATACTATGGATCAACATTTGTTCGTGTTACATAAAACAGTTTAGATATAATTTGGATTAATGACGACATTTTTAAGAAAATTAAGAAATTTGTAAGAATGGAACTATATTTACGGAGTTTACAATAAAACTAGGAGACACCTTCTAAAGTTATTCTGATTATGTTAAGGACGACATTTTTTATTAGCACTTAAGAGAAACATTTAGTGTATTTGGAACCGCTATACATGTGAGCTGACATTTTTTTTTTGAAAATATTAAGAAACATGCTATGAGCATTAAAAAAAATTTTATCTCATGTAACAAATTAAAAATTATGTAAATCGGTAATCTGGTGATGTTAACTTTTGGCAGGGGCTGAAGTGCAAACATCAGGCGTGCGAGGTGGGGAAAGACTTTCTTCAAGTTTTACATCTGATTTGACAGAACGCCGCGCTCATTTAAAAGCATGAGTAATGGGGGTTGAATTTGGTAGGTCCCAAGTGAATAATTTCGGTGGGATGCCTTCGTAAAGACTGACAGCTGGGGGAAGGGGAGGACGCAGAGCAAGTCTTTTTTATACAAATTTTAAAGGATGGATACGAATATTGATATACCCAACAAACAAAAACCTGTGGAAAACACAAGATTTTCTGGTGTATTTGACACAAGTAGCCCATGTGAATATGTCGTGATAATTTACATGTTGACATGGTGAACGTCGACGGTTTGATCACGGGTCTAGGACCGAGTTTTTACACGGAGAAAACTTGAGTTTATTCACGAGATGTACATGGTTTTTTTACATGAGAAAATTATTTTTCCCCCACCTAATTAAATTACATTTTTTAAATCACGTGTATAGTTGATTTCTGATATATAAATATATTAAAGAAAATACTGTGTAAAAGTATAAAATGTGTAGAAACTAAACGTTTTGGTTTATATCTTTTACACCTCTTGAACGTGTAAACTTTAAATGATCAATATTCTCAAAGAGTCATTTTAAGTCTACACAATGTTCAACTATGTTTGTTAACCATTAATTATAAGAACTCTGTAAAATGTCGTCTTCAACTCGAATCTCCTGTCGGAGACAGCCAAACCAAATTTNTTTTGCACTGGTTTATTTTGCTACGTGTACAACATGTGAAATAACAACGAGAATTTTCAAAGAATATTTTCGCGTTTTTTACCCGTGCTGTACACATGAGGAATCTTCAAGATTGTGAAAAGTGGATTTACCACGAGTATAACACAAGGAGGGTACGTGAATTAATCACGTGAATTATCAACCAGTTCTCCATAATGCTAATCTCGTTGAAAACCTGTGTTTTGTTTGTTGGGTAGTATTTCTTAATGTTAGTTTTATATTAAAACGAATATTTGTAGGGCTTTGAAAATCTAAGACGAAACCAAATCGGTTTTTAACTGATTTCAAATGCTCTCTTTGTTAAAACAGGGACTCATTTTCTACTAGAAGAAGAGGCACGGACAACAAAACGACGTGATGTGCACGGGCAACACTGGATACGTCTTCTTGTTAAAGTTATATTTAGTAAAAACAAAAACAATCAAACATCATTAGAATCAACTCCCCGCTGGTTTAGACACATAATAAACCCAGGATCTGTAAATATTTTTATTTCCAAGGAATCAAAATGTAAAATATTGATTAAAATATTTAAATTGAGTACGGGCCCCCTGTGGTACAGACAATGTCTGTACAGGGTTAAACAACTCTCATTTAAAACTTTATTAACAAATTTCTGGTTCACAAAAAAATAAAAATTAAAATTGTATTTTTTGTGAACACTTTTCTGGTGAATCAGTTGGTTTGATGAAAACAGTTATTTGATATTTATGTATTTATGAATTAACTTGTTGGAAATTATGGTTGCTTGGCGCCCCTTCCTCTTTAGTTTGTGACTTGCATTATAGAAAGCGCCACTGCACTCAACTAGGTGCATACCGGATTAACAACAGTCACTAGCTGAAGTTTCTGGCGTTGCCCGTGGACAAAATTTGGATTTTTTGGAGTTTTAATAATTAAAATTTCGAATTTTGAGGGGAAAACTCTAATTTTGTTAGCCTATCTTCCAGAGTACCCATGGGTTCCCTTACAAAATTAAGCCAATTCAGTCCAGCTGTTTGGCAATCTATAGGGCACCTATCATATATACATAGCGAAGAGCTTTATTATATAGATAAATGCTGTGTTATTTAAAACTTTTAAAAAAGCGTTTAAATTCTGACTTTTTTTTCGTTGTTTCTGTTGCAAAATTCCGCAAGTCACTGTAAAGAAACCCCACATTTGATAATAATCAATGTTCATAGTTAAAAACATGAATTTCTCATTCATTCTAGGTAATACAAAGCTTAAAAGTATATTATTGCCTGATTTAAACTTTTATGTGATCAATAATGTGGAAGATATTCTAGTTTTTCAGCTTGAAATAGTTTAATTTTGACATTCCCTCACTTTTGTAGAACTGCCACAATAGAAAACGATCAATTTTTAAATTAAAAGAATGTACATCTCAATAGTTCTTGACCATAAAATGCTTTTAAGTTTACCGTTGTGCATCGCACCTGCTATTTTTATAAAGGGAGGGTCACCGTTTTTAAACATGGGTTATCTATAGTAAAACATATCAGAATCAATTGGCGTCAATCCTTTGTGGCTAACCCTGTACTATATACATTATTAAATACTAAAGATCTAAATTCTAAATTTTCTTTTCTACCTTACTTATAGTTTATAATTTTATTTATGTAAATCATATATTCTTATAAAATTAAGCTAAACAGTGAATATATATTAAGAAGACGACTTTACAAACCCTTCTTATTAAGAAATTATCATATTTAGTGGTACACATTGTAATAAACAAAGACGATTATACTGTATGTTTCCTTATATTCTACTGTATGTTTCTTTAAATTCATGATTCCTTGCAGCTGTTAACGTGTTTATTCCTTAGCTAAATCATAAAAGACGCCATTAAAAGAAGTTGTCCTTACAGTCTCATCCTGTGTGAGTAACCCTGTATATGCAACAGTATGAGAATGTGATACATGGATTTGACAGGAAAATCCACGTGGGCGGAGAACTTGAGGAAGGAAGGGAAGAATAAAGAGGGGTTTAAGAAAATAAGGGGGGTGGGGGTAATAAGGGTGGGATGATACGGATGAATATCTCACCCTCCATAACCATTCCTAGTTCCTACCTATCCATGACCATATGTATCCCTCACCTCCGTCACTCACTCTGCCATCCTCATTCCAATACAGCATGTCAGTTTGAAGATTCTAACTGCTCCCTAAACTCCTCCTGCTCCCTGCGGGGTTCCGAGGAATTTTTGA